GAGACTCCGTGTACTCACACAGGAGACCCAGGCATCTACAATGCCCGTTCCTGCAGCCTTCCCCAAGTCAGACCACCACTCCCTCCTGGTTCCCCTCTGCCTCTACCCAACTCCTCCTTCCGGGAAGTCCTCCCTAGCCACCTTAGCTGAGCCCAACCCACACACAGCTCTCTTAAACCTCAGGCTACACCGTCTACACTGCCTGGTTTTATGCTTCATTAAGACTGTGCATTATGCTACATTTAATAATAGCATACCCCCCTGCCCCCAGACCTAGACTTCTTTGGTAGCCCTAAATCTCTTCCATAGCACAAAGCAAGCAGAAAGTACTCATTGTGGATTGAATAACCAATTAAGTCAGGGTCCTTGACTCGATTGTCTTCGTCTAGTTCCACCAATAACCCACTGTGGAACTTGTATTTGATGCTTCTCTGGATGTCAGTTTCCTCATTTGTAAAAATAAGTGGGTTGAACTAACTGATGTTTCCACCTCTTAACTTCTGAATTAGGCAACCACTTTCTATCTCCCAAGATCTGAGAAAAAAATTATGGGGGAAACTGAAATGCCTCCCCCAGCTCTCCCAGGCAGTGTTAGTCACTTGCTCCCCTGGGCTGCCCACAGCCTTGTGTGTGTGTATACAACACCTCTATCACAGCGTTGATCCAAAAGCTGTGAGAGAGTCTATACCCTAAGGGCTGAGGTGGAGGCAGGGAGAAGAGTCAGGCTGCCTGGGTTCAAATTCTAACTCTACTCCCTACTTGCTTTATAACCTTGGGCAACTTTCTTAACCTCTGATTCTATTTCCTCCAATATAAAACAGGACTAATACTTAGCACACCGGATGATTGTAAGAATTAAGTGAGGGACGCCTGGGTGGCTCAGTCATTTAAGTGGCTGCCTTCAGCCCAGGTCATGATCCCAGGGTCCTGGGATCGAGTCCCACATCGGGCTCCTTGCTCAGCAGGGAGCCTGCTTCTCCCTCTCTCTCCCTCTGCTTGTGCTCTCTCTGTCAAATAAATAAAATCTTTAAAAAAAAAAGAATTAAGTGAAATAAAATTTTTGGAACAGTGCCTGCCACACACTAAGCACTAACAAATGTTAGTTGCTATTATTGCTGCTGTTAATTAATGTCTTCCTAGGCACTGAGTTGCTCCTTCGGCTGGATCTCTGTCCTCCTCCCATACTCCAAACAGTGCCCTGGTCACGCCTTCCTCCGCAGCACCGCCACATGATAATATATTTACTTATGTATTTATTTCCTACCTCTCCACTAGACTGTAACCTCCTTTTTTTTTTTTTTAAAGATTTTATTTACTTATTTGACAGAGAGACACAGCGAGAGAGGGAACACAAGCAGGGGGAGTGGGAGAGGGAGAAGCAGGCTTCCCGCAGAGCAGGGAGCCCGATGCGGGGCTCGATCCCAGGATTCCGGGATCATGACCTGAGCCGAAGGCAGACACCTAAGGACCAAGCCACCCAGGCGCCCCTAGACTGTAACCTCCTTGAGGGCAGAGAACCTATCTGTTCTGTTCATCCTTAAATTCCCACCATCAAACATACTGTGTATGGCACAGAGCAGACACTCAAATATTTGTTGAATAAATAGCACATGAGCTGCACTGTTCAAGGTCTGCTGAATAAATTAACCTAGCTAAGGGGTGACTGTCAAAGCTGGGTGCAGATGATGTCCTAGCTGCTCCAGGATTACTGTGACCCTCTCCCAGCCCCAATATTAGCCTCAGCCAAGCCCCACCCACCTGCCCTTGGCCCTGGTCCAGTTCCGGGAGCTACCCTCAGCTAAAATTAGCATAGCCACCAAGATGGCCAGGCCATTTATAGCCTTGGAGGCAGCAGCAACTAGCTGGGTGGGCAGACAGGGCTCTGGCCTCCCACTCCCACCAGGGGTTGATTGAGAAGCCAGCCTGCAGTCCACAGACTGCCTAGATGCCTATCCTCCAGGGCCCTGTTATGGCTATACTGAGTCACACCACAGTTCCTGATCAGAGGCCCTCAGTATCTCCAACTGTCACAACCTGACTCACCTGGGATCCCCCACAAACATTCTGCAGAAAACCTTTTGAGTTTCTGGAAGCAATGAGCCCAGAGTCTACGGGAGGTTCCAAGCATCAGTTCCAGGCCAGCTTCAGAAATGCAGTCCCCAGGGTAGCACGCCCAGGCTCAGATCTTTACTGAGAAAGTGACTTAGCACAGCTGGGTGTGCAGGCATCAAAGAGTGAGAAGGTGACAGGAATGGCCTCTCCGCTGCCCAATTGAGGGGGTCTCTTAGCGGAGCACCTGCCTTCACTGCAGGGACAGGGCTCTAAGATGGAGAGATACATCCAATGAGAGAAAAAAGCCAATTCTCTGGCCCCTGCAGAAGACTCTCCAGGGGAGAAAAAGACAGCCCTTTCCTTGGATCTCATCAGCTCAGTTACAAGGGCCTGCCTAAATAACTGATCGGGAAGAAAGTAACATTCTCTTGGCCATGCCTAGCACTCCTTTAACGGGCCAGGGCCAGAGAAGACAGAAGAAATCTAAGACCTGCCTATAAGACAGAACCCAGTTTCATCAAAAGCTAATGATGTAATATATGGTGATTAACATAACAATAAAAAATTAAAAAAAAAAGACAGAACCCAGTTTCTTCACCTATGAAAAGGGGGATAATACCACCCGCCATGCATTCTACTAGGCTATTATGAGCATTTTATAGGAAAAATAGCTGTGTAATTGTAAAATATAAACTATAGAGAACATATAAATTGACCAGGTGTGCCAAATCTGATTACAGAAATGGCAGCTTTAAGGGCAAGTAAAACTCCTGTGTTCCAAGACTACATGGGGACTGGAAGGGCTATGAGAGTTCCTGGCTGCGTAAGACACTTCTCCCCAAATCCTTTAGCAGAGCCCAGTCCGTAAGCCACCTCTTTGCAAAAAAATGAGTCCCTGTCTGAGTCAAAGTCCCAGACAGGCCCAAGGGGACAACCTAGAACAATAGTTCTGGGGTCCCCAGGTTCCCACAAACTATAATCATGCCTAGCACCTAGGGTCTCTGAGACTTCCCTCCCTGGGATTCAGTATTATTATGACAACATAAACTAATTTCTGAACTGAGAGTAATTAGGGCCTAAGTGACAGAGTCAGCATAGCCAGGCCTCTGAGATATGTTGTGAGGAGGGCTGTCCCCACAAGCTCAAGTCATGGGGTGGTTCTGAGGGATGCTGGAATGCCTCTTACTTAGGCAGGTGTGTCCACACAAACACACACACACAATCTTCTCGATAGCAAGCTAATGCCTAAAGTTCAGAATTTCATCCCTTCAGTTCATGTCTAAAATATAAAACACCTCCTCCCCCCCCAAAAAATATTCATTTTATGTCAGGCACTCATATTTTAGGGGGAGAAAAGGATATTTTATCCATTATAAACAGGAATGTCACTGAGAAAGCAGAGATGTTCCTAGGGTTCCTAGGGTCTACTTCACATTTTGATCTACATCTGCCTAGTAGACTTTCCCTTCACAGCCTGATGAAAATCAGGCTTTTAGCTACATTTCAGGGGCCAAGGAGATACCATATGGAGGAACAAGTTTAATCTGCAAGAAAAACCAATCTTCAAAATAACAGCCTACGGGGCACCTGGGTGGCTCAGTCGTTAAGCGTCTGCCTTCAGCTCAGGTCATGATCCCAGGGTTCTGGGACGCAGCCCCGCATGGGGCTCCCTGCTCGGCGGGAAGCCTGCTTCTCCCTCTCCCACTCTCCCTGCTTGTGTTCCCTCTCTCGCTGTGTCTCTCTCTGTCAAATAAATAAAATCTTTTAAAAAAATAAAATAAAATAAAAAATTAAAAAAACAAAATAACAGCCTAGGTGCTATGTTTGTACGTAGGGCAACCCTACTTGCAACTCAGCCCTTCAGGTACACCCAGCCCAGTCAAAGAAGTTAAAAGAGAGGGTTTTCGGAGAAAGGTTCTATCATCAAAGCCAGCATCTGGATCCATCCATGAAACCTCCCAGCCACCATGACCTATGTTTCCTTTTCCTCCTATATCAATGGGTATCCCTGAGCAGTCCCCTCATAAAGAACTCAGCTATAAACACTCCCTAATCCGCAACCCACTGCTTTGGATAGATCACAGTGACAGGGTGAGAGAAATGGGGAAAGAAAACTGAATTCCTTCTAAGTCTTGTGTAAAACAACTGAATTTTAAAAGTATTCTTTTCTTTTGCATTCTGCAACAGAACTCCAGGGCTCCTGATACCTGACAAGGCTCCATGAGTGCATAAAGAAAGACAGGACAGATCAAAAATATCATAGAATTCCTACCCTCATCAGTCAGAAGAAATGGCATAAATCAACAAGTGGCCCCAGAAATTATACCATACCCACAATAAGAAAAAGCCATTTAACTCCCTAGTGGTAAGTAGTATTCGATCTAAGGAACTGCCTTGATATTTCAAATGGGATAGCTAAAAGACAGCGGATTACCTAAGGGAAGGGAGGGACTAAGTTTCCCACGCTTGTTGGAACAGAAAGGCACACCTCAACACCAAGCTATAGGGCAACAGAGTTGGCCCAGCCCTGACTTTCCCTGCCCAGCCCAGTAGCCTCAACCCTCCCTGTGCTGCCAAGTGCTGAAACTGGCCAAAAGCAATAGACTTATCATGGCCAAAAGACTTATCATCTGCCTAGGCCATTCTTCCAGACAAGTAGTCCTGAGAAGGGGTCCTGGCTTGCTGATCTGAAAGGCCAAGGTGCCCGAAAGGCCAACCCCTTCTCACTGCCAACAAAAGACATCCTGGGGAGAGAGGAGGAAAGAAGTTGTTGTCAGGGACAGAGACATTTAGCCATGGCTCCTGAACAGAAAGAACTCCTTGGACTACTGAGAACAGGCAGTGCCATCAGCCGCACATGTAGAAACCTAAGGTTCAACTTGCCCACTCAGGCACCTCAGTCCTGAGTCAACCCTCCCAGCCCAGTCCAGCCCGTGGCAAGGCCTTACCTGCTGCAGTGGACTCCTCAGAACTAGCCCCCGAGCCAGCTCCTGTCGCCTTCTCACTGTGACTATGGCTGAAGCTCTGGCCGTGATGCAGGAGGAGCCCCCAGAAGAGCCACAGGGCAACACGGGAGCACACATCCATGACTCCAGGTCTCAGTCAACATGCGCCTGATGTGGACACCTCGGGATCCCAGAGCAAAGCCGGGAGCCCAGAAGTGTAGCCGACAGTCCTGGAACCCCAGGCAAGATGCCCTCGAGGCGCCGCAGCTGTCCAGCCACCCGCCGGCCTGCCTCCTACGACAGCCAAAGGTCAAGTGCTCCAAGTTTGGGCGCGGGAGGAGGGCGGGTTCCTCCGGTCCAACAGTGGGTCCACGGGAGCTGCGGCGGCCTGAGCGCCGAGTCTGCTCCAGCCGCTTCCGGAGAGTTTGGACAGGGTGGCTGCGGGGCCGCCGTCAGCTCCGCAGCGGGCTACACCTCTGCGGGAGGAGGCGGACGGGCGGGATCTCCCGCGGGCACCGGAGTGGGGGAGGGAGGGAAGAGAGGGGAAGAGGGGGGCACCTGGCCTCTCCCCGCCGAGTAGCCGCGAGCAGCACTGGCTCGGGGAGGGCGTGCAACTCGCAGGTCCCCGCGGGCGCGGGCGGCTCCGGGATCCCAGGCCTCCTAGGCCGAGGTCAGCGCCCCCGCCCAGTCCCGTGCCCAGGCGGCCGGCGGTGCCCAGGTTCAGCAGGCGGACGCGCACTGGCCAGGCCCGGGACAGCGGCTCCTCGGCAGGCTGGCGGGCGGCGCGGGGCGGGCCCGGGGCGGGCGGGGGCGTGCTCTCCTGCAGGCCCGCCCCGCGCCGCCCGGCCCCCAGCGAAGCCCGGCCCGCCCCAGCGCCGAGCTTATCCCGGAATAACCTGTTAGAGGCAGCTGCCGGGTCCCCCCAGACCGCGGTGGGCTCTCCCCGGCCCGGGTCCGCACTAGTGTCTGCCAGGACTCCCCCTCCCGCACCAAGGGTCGGGTCCCGGCCTCCCCTTCCCCCACGGGAGTCTCTCCCGCTCTAACCGCCGGCGGATGGGCGGGCGCGCCCCGGACACGCAGTCGCTCAGGTAACCCAGGCCTGCGGCGACGGCGGCAGTAACTGCCCTGCCCCGATCTCCGGGCCTCGGTGCTGCTCCACTCGCCTCAGCTCTGGAGCCGGGCTGGACAGAGGCCCCCGGCACAACGACTGCTGTCCCGGGATGCCTGAAGCGACAACGGCCTGGCCGGGTTGGGCCGGGGGCACGCTCCCAGCCCCCCCACTTCGGGCCGGCTTTCAGGCTCCGCCCTCCCGCCGCGCCGCGCAGCCGATCAGCTTCCTCCTCTGCAGTTTAGGAACCTGCGCGCTTAGTCACCCGCGCGCAGTGGCCCCTGGCGGGCAAATCTGGGTGCTGCAGACAGGACTCGAGCTCCTGGGAGGCCCTGCCCCTTTGCAGAGGGGTTGGGGAGTGAAGCGAGGATCCGCCCCGGGGCAACCCATTCGGGACTGCGAGTGTTTTCAGAGGAAATGATGCCAGATAACAAAATGAAACGTCCAAAACTCTATAGTTACAATTGCCCTACACATCCCTTAAGTCTCGGCTAAAGGACCCCATCTGCCCATCTGCTGACCTCCCTTCCCGCCTCATTCAAGCGAAGTCGGATGCCCTCCTTTAACTGTCACAGCCCGTTTTCCCACCTGCCCCTCAAATCCCCTCCCCTTTGAGGTTTTTGTGGGTAGGGCCTGTGGCTGGTTCCTCTCGGCCTCTCACTCTCCCAGCTCTCAGTGTCGCTTGGAGGAGGTGTTGGCGACTTAGAATGAGTGCCCCAATGAAGAGAGCCGCGCGTGGGCCTCCTTCAACAGAGCCTGCATTTCCTGTTCTCTCTCGAGCATGCTGTCAGCAGATCTTTACTAAAACCTGCTCTGTGCCCTACCCTGCCCTTGGCACCGGAGGCAGGGGAAGGAATTAGGCGCAGTCTCTCCTCTGACTGACAGTGCTAAGCCAGCTACCTGTTCTGAGCGAGCCCTCTGAAGACCAGGAACATGGATTTGCCCAACAGCTGCCTGGCTTAGGGGATAGGCTGCTGATGTAAAAATACACTTCTAACCTCATCTACTACCACTCTTCCCCACTCTCAAGCTCCGAGCACACTGGCCTTCTTTAAGTTCCTCAAACACGTTGAACCTTCACCATCGGACCTTTGTATCTGCTGTTGCTTCTGCCTGAAACACTCTCCCCTTTACCTCCAGCTCCCCGTGTAGCTGTTCTTTCCTTCTTCCAGATACAATTCAAGGTCTCCTCAGGAACTCCCATTTCTGACCAGTGCCTCAAGTCCAGAATTAGACCAAACAGATGTCCACCTCCCTCCACCCCGTAAGATTGAGTTTTCAAATGTCAGGGGGTAGTGTCTTATTCATCTTTGAAAAAGGAGGATGCAGCCATAGGCCCTGCACAAAGTAAGTGCTCAGTAAAAGTTGGTAGACATGAGTTAATTCATTTGATCACTAAAATATTTATTGAATAACAACTCTGTGCTGGGAAACTGGCCAGAACAGATGAGCACCTGACCTAGGTTCTACTAGACATATGCTCTGAGTCAGGGCCCTTAAGCTCAAATGGCAAAGTTGGCAAATAGATAACACAATTGAGAGAAGTAGGTGAATAATAGGGAGTGGCGGGGACTATGGCACAATGGAGAAAAGGCAGGAAGGTGGACTCAGTATTGCTGGATCATCTTTAAGAGAAGTTAGAAAGCTGAACTTTTACATGACATATCCCCTTTTTTAGTACTAGCAATTAATTAAAAGTAAAAAGCCCTGGGACACCTGGGTGGCTCAGTCAGTTACTTGTCTCCCTTCGGCTCATGTCATGATCCCAGGGTCCTGGGATCGAGTCCCACATTGGTCTCCTTGCTCAGCAGGAAGCCTGCTTCTCCCTCTGCCTGCTGCTCCCCCTGCTTGTGCTTTCTCTCTCTCTGACCAAAAATAAATAAATAAATAAAAGATCTTTAAATAAATAAATAAATAAATAAATGTGAAAAGCCCTGTATGGACCATATAAACACATTTGCAGTGTAAATTAATCACTCAGATTGCTAGCTTGTCACTTCTGCCTAAGCCAACTTGCCTACTCACTCATTTGTCTAAGAGAATACCCCAGCAAAAAAGAAAGTAAAACATGTTTAACTTCCTTTAAACTTGACTGCATTGTTTCTCTTAGCTACCACATGATTTTTTAGGGAGTATGGGTGCATAACCCATTTGATACAAAAAGCCTGGGTCTTGAAGGCAGGAAGTGAGGGTCTGTTACCAATTCACACCAAAAACTTGAACCTGTCAAAGCATGTTGCGTTTCCTGTGAGGCTAAAATGGTGGCTGGGAACTAATAACAGAATTAGCATATGAGGTGCCTGGCTGGCTCAGTCAGTAGAGCATGCAACTCGTGATCTCAGGATCCTGAGTTCAAGCCCCACATTGGGTGTGGAGCCTCCTTAATTTTAAAAAGAAAGAAAGAGAGAAAGAAAGAGAGAGAGAAAGAAAAAGAGAAAGAGAAAGAAGTAGCATATGATCCAGCAATTCCACTTCTGGATATACACTCAAAAAAATTGAAAACAGGGTCTCAAAAAGATATTTGTACACCCATGTTCATAGCAGCACTGTTCACAATAGCCAAAAGGTAAAATCTGAATGGAAAGACAGATGAATAAACAAAATGTGGTATATACATACAGTGGAATATTATTCCGCCTTAAAAAGGAAGAAAATTCTACATGCTACAACATGGATGAACTTTGAGGACATTATGCTAAGTAAAATAAGCTGATCACAAAAGATAAATACTATATGATTCTACCTATATGAGGTACCTAAAGTAGTGAAATTCAGAGAGAAAGAAAGCAGGATAGTGGTTGCCAGGAGAGGATAGGGAATTGTTTATTTATTTATTTTTTGACAGAGAGAGAGAGCGAGAGCAGGAACACAAGCAGGGGTAGTGGGAGAGGGAGAAGCAGGCTTCCCGCCAAGCAGGGAGCCCGATGTGGGACTCGATCCCAGGACACCGGGATCACGACCTGAGCCAAAGGCAGACGCTTAACGACTGAGCCACCCAGGCGCCCAAGGATAGGGAATTGTTTAAAGGATATAGTTCAGTATTTAAAGATTGGTTGCAAAACAATGTGAATGTACCTAACATGACTGAACTATGCACTTAAAAATGGCGAAGAAGGGGCACCTGGGTGGCTCAGTCAGTTAAGTGTCTGCTTTGGCTCAGGTCATGATCCCGGGGTCCTGGGATGAGCCCCAAGTCAGTTTCCTGCTCAGCGGGGAGTCAGCTTCTCCCTCTGCCTCTGCCCCTCCTCCCAGTTCGTGCTCACTCTCTTCCTCTCTCTCAAAATAAATAAAATCTTTTTTTAAAATGGTGAAGAAGATAAACTTTATGTTCTGTGTATTTTACCACAATTAAAACAAAAATAAAAATAAACGGTATCTGGGAACGAAAGCCATGGCCTAGATAACAGGAGGAACATTTCGGTTTCCTCTCTCCGCCTCCAAGATCATGATTAACATCAGAAAACCTAGTTGCCAGGGCACCTGGGTGGCTCAGTCGGTTAAGTGTCTGCCTTAGGCTCAGGTCCTGATCCCAGGAACCTGGGAATGAGCCCCCACTGGGCTCCCTGCTCAGCAGGGGAGCCTGCTTTTCCCTCTCTCTCTGCCTCTCCCCTTTGCTCATGCACTCTCTTTCTCTCTCTCAAATAAATAAATAAAATCTTTAGGAAAAAAAAAGTTCCCCTCTGGATCTCAGTCTCCCCAACTATAGGGTGTATAAGTACTAGATTATTAATTCAGTCTGGCTTTAATATTCTACAACACAGGAAAATCCTGAGACCTCATGGATCTTCCTGGATCTGAAGCTGTGACTCTCACTTCAACAGTCCCTATGTTGGGTCCTCATGTGAGTGTAGCCTCTGCAAGAACCCCTCATCACATTATGAGTCTCAAGAGGAAACAGAGAGTTTTTTTTTTCTCCCATCTGTCTTTTTTAAACTTTTACACCAAGCCTTTACCGTATACCAGGTGTATCTCCCTTGAATTGCTCTCAGGGCCTTGCTCCTGATATTCTGCAGATGTTGGTTAAATCGAATTGGACTAACAATTCTCGTGCCTCCATTCCACTCTTTGCCCGAGCTTTCACATCAAACAACTCTCTCATTCACAAGAGCTCTTCTAGGTAAGACAGAGGCTATACTCATTGTAGATAAAGAAACTAAGGCTGAGGCCACCACACCAAGCTCTCTCCTTTGGAATTTTCTCTCTATCCTGCAAGTCTCAGCTCCAGTGAAAGAAAAGCATCCATGCCTTGACCAATGATGACAGAATAGCATGAACCAAAAGTTGTGATTAGTCAAAAAAAAAAAAAAAAAAAAAAAAGACCCAGCTCAAAACTCACCCCTTCCTTCCTTTGCCACCTTGCCTGACTTGCCCAACTTGCCCTGTGTCTCCAGTCTTCTGCTATACCTTAGAGTACTGATACAACTGGATTATGATTATCTCATAAGTATCTGGCTTCCCCATTAGCTTCTGGGTTCATCAGGGATTGAATTTCATTCACCTTCATACTCCCCCAGGCTAGGATTTGACCAAGTACAAACCTGGTACTCAATAAAAGTGCGTGAATGAATGATGTGTGTTCTCTATGAACTGGCTGTCATGTCTCTAGCTGTCATTCCTCGACACCACAGGGTTTCTGGTTACTGATAGCTTTCATTTGGGAAATG